CAGTTCTTCCAAAGAGAGTTTTAGAGACAGATGCAGAAGGACTGAAAGGACAGAACAAGATGACACAAGGAGGGAAGCTAGTCAGAAAAGAAAACACTCAGGCTGGTAACCCCTCAAGGCACCAGTGATGGCAACTGGGTAGTAATCACTGCTACTTCATGCCCAAATAGTAGTCTGCAGCAGGATCAAGAGGAGGTGTGGTCAAAAGCCCTTCAGGAATTTTATTTTTACTGTTCCCACTACCCCAAAATAAGGCCTGCATTCCAAACAGAGCTCCATAAGCCTTGAGAAAGTAGCACTACTGAGGCTGGCAGATACAGAAGCAGCAAACCATAGCACAAAGCTGCTGAGCTAGGGTAGAGGAAAGGAGAATCCAGTTATGACTGCTAATGGTATAGCCCAATTTGAAAGAGAGAATTTCCAGGCATCTCCTGTTCCCCCAAGCCAAGACCAAGGAAAACATGCACAGTAAGAAACACTTACCATTTCTTTCTGGAAGTAGATGACCAGTCCAGCAGCAACCTGAGTTATGAGGATAACCATCAGGCAGGTGAAGTACTGGAAACAGAAGAGAATAGATGATCACTATCAGCCTTTAAGAAGGTCTGTACATAATCGCACAAGTTTTAGTATGATTTCACATACAAGAGAAGTCACAACATTGAGCCAACACCTTTGCCTGCAGACAAGCTCTGCTATCAACAATGCTCTCCCTAGTAAATGGTTTCGGTACAAGCATCAGACCAGTGCACTTCAGCACTTCTCCCATCATGCCAAGAAGACGACTTCAAGAAGGGAGAGGGTTTACAAGCACCCTCTACATGTGTCATTCTAGCTGCAGCTCCCTCTGACCTCCATTCCCACTCAACTCTGACCTCAATCTGGACTCTGCCTACCCCAAGCCTCCATGGCAAAAGTCAATTTTACAAACTTTAAAAACAAAGTCAATTACCTTTTAAAAATGCTATTAAATTTGTTCGAGCATCTAAACTTAAGATTCACCAGCAAACTGCTTTTAAGGAAAGTTGGACATCTGAGGTTACTTTTGAACGGTGGCAGCTACTACTGTCACATTAGGAGATGTTCCTAATACCAGGACACACAATGTGGCCACACTCGGTTTCCTATACATATGTGCTCTGAATTAAGCAGGAGTCAAGTAGCAGGCTCAGTTATGTGAAGCTAGTGTCACCTCACCCATCACAGACAGAAAATTTCCTATAGATGAACCATTTGAAGAGAGGTCCTGACACACAGGACATTCTTAGTTAAGTCTCTCTTGGCTCTTGCACTTTCCACAGAAGCTGAACTTTGCACTACAGCAGGATGCTGTCACTCTTCCTTTTCTCTCACTGCCCTTGATACTTGTCCTTGCACCATTGAGAGCACAATGCCAACTGGGAAGTCGGGGTGTGGGGGGGTACGAGGTACTGGGTCACCTGGAACATCTCTCCTCAGTTGGCAGTCCTCAACCCACTGTTTGCAGAAAGTGTCAGTGATATCCTCTCTCATTTTGCAGTTATTAGCTCATCATCAGCAATGTCTGAGGAACTGCTGCTGCAGCCTGTTGACTGCTGGATAATTTAATGTGTGCAAATTAAGAATTAGATCTAAGTTGCCCTAGCAGTAGTACTGTCCCCAGGAGACCTGAGCCCCAGCTACAATCCAACAGACATTCTGCAGGATCTAAAAACACAGCATAAATTTTCTCACCAGACCCAAGAGACATCGGATTTCATTGACTGCTCCAAGACAACCCAGGAACCCCATCAGCATGGTGAGAGCCCCAACACCGATGAGGATGTATGCACCAGTCTTCAGGGAGGGAGATGACATCTCTGTAGGAGCCAGGAAAGGGAACAAAATTAGCAACTGACAAAAACTACATCTGCCATCACCATTTAGAGAACTGCCTCCATATTTACTTATAATAGTCTGTCGTCTTCTACAAAGGGACTGCACAGAGGCGTGTTGAACATTGAGACAGAAGGCTGCTTCTGGCTGTCTTCTGATGAAGGAAGACTTTCAAAGCTAACCTGCAGGTCTCCATTATCTCAGAGCCTGGAAGACTCAAGGTCACTCCAAACAAATGAACCTTGTTTGCAGAAAGTTAACTCCTTACTGGATTTTTAACTCCCTCATGAACGCACTCCGAGTGAGAATAAGATAAAGTATGTTTTACTCCATGACTACTGCCTATCTGCTTCAATTTCCTTTGCTATCTTCAGGGAAGGTTTTTTCAAGTCCTAAAACCCCTTTTGGGTTTGGCTTTTCATTTTAATGCACTATTCCTTATTTTGGTCATTCTGGTTTTACTTATCCACTTGCAGTCAACAGTGAGACACACAAACTCCAAGGAGTGAAACACTATGCAAGAGCTACAGCTAGCGTTGAGCGTAGATGATGTGACAGGTTACTTGACAACTCAGCATTGAATGGCTTGTGGCCAGGCACTCACTGCAGGCTATTGCAGCACCTGTGTATGATGTCCTGCAAACAGCTGCTATTCCAGGATCAAAACAGGTATCATGCCCAAATTTGCTAATTTTACATAGCCTCTTAGCTATCCCCTGATATTGTGTCTGGAATGACTGTGCTCTTGAATGCTCAATAGTTTTTCAACCACACTTAGATAGTATTATTTCAGACATACTGGTGCTGTCAGTCCTCTCCCCTCAACATTTAGTACTGCAGGCAACAGAAGAAACAAGCTCTTACGTTTGGGTTGGTCACAGGACTATTTCTTGCAGATCAGGATTGCAGTGAGCAAGCATTACAGCATAAAAGTTGAAGAGATGCTCTGTCTAGAAATAGTAACCAGCAACCTCATTTACCATTAACAGATGTTCTTAAACCTGCAAGCTGCAGAGCATAGGGGAATTCTGGATGTCCAGTGATTACTGAAAATACTGTCTCTAGAGCCCAGCATTCAGTTTCCTGGACAGAAGTCCCAGGAGGCAAGCTTCCTCTAAGCTCCTCCTGAAATAGGTTAAGAGAGTAACCTAATCCAGACTAATACGCTCCCCCCACTTCTGATACCTGGTGCAAGTCACCAGCTTCCAAACTTTTTTTCCTCTAGAACACGCCAAACAGAGGAAAAACATCAGTTATCAAAAAATGAAGAAGAGCTGTTTGCCACACAGGTCACACTTCAGACATTTCAGCCTTGATTCACTTCCAGGTCAGGCTCTCCCTGGCTGGACATACGCCACAGAAACCACCATCCTGCTCCTCCTTCCTCACCAGTCCCAGGACTCCTGTCGTGAGGTTAGGTGCTGATACCGCAAAGCATTTACTGAAGTAGCAGCCTTGCAGGAGTGGCCTTCACAAGACGACACTAATTCCCTCCTCCAAAATCTGCTCAGCCATCATACAAGTGTTCAAGTGCCGGGGTTGCAGCACCTCCACAGTGCTAGAAAGCAGTTGCTTGGTCAACTTCTCATTAGAAGAAAGAAAAAGGTATTTCCAATTCAAAAGCCCTTTGGAAAAGTGACAGCAGCAGGGGGACAGGAGCTGTGCTCGTACTTATCTGCAATAGGCCTTTTCTTACAAGGACAGGTTCTGCTGGGAAGGCGACTCCTGCTCTGTTTGCTGTTGTTCCGTGTTTTCCCCTGCGCTGGGCAGGCGGCCAAGGAAGTACAACAGGCTCCTTTGGCAGGGGCTGGAGTGCCCTGCTGTGCCGAGCTCCCTCCCTCATGCCTGGGTTACTAAAGCAAAAGGAAAAGAGGAGCCAGGCATGGGAAAGGAAGCAAGGGGGCAGGGAGAAAGAGCTGATGCTGGAAATCTCCAGGAAGGAAGTTCATTCCTTAAATGCTCTGTTAGCAGAGATTCTGGGTAAAATGGGAAGAAGCAAAGCCAAGCTCAGGGACTTTGTATCTCTATGAGTGCCAGTAACGCCCAGCGGCCTGGGAAAAGAGCTGCTGGCACTAAACATGCCTCAGACCATGAGGGGTGCTGCAAATAAGCCAAGCCTTGATAAACTCTTTTGGTTCCCTGTATAAGCACGTGTTTCTGCTCATGTCCCCACTTTATTAACCAACACCCCTTGTGTTTCTTGCCCTTCTAGTACTGCAGTAGTGAGCCAGATGCCACAGCACAACAGAGCAAGCAGCATTATCTGTGCATACAGTGTTACTGGGGGTGTCGTCTTCACCCAGCACCTTCCAATGCCAGGCCAGAGCCTGCAGCAGGACTCGGGAGATCAAGCCCTTTGCAGGATCAGTGTAGTTGGGAACAGGGCTACAAATGCCACTACTGTTCATTCCCTGGGGCTGCAAGCAGTGTGCCGGCAGTCCTGCTGCAGCATCTCACACTGCTGCCAGAGGCAGCAATTCTGGAGGCAGAGGCAATGGGTAACCAGACCCACCAAGCAGAAAAGCTGTCTGAAGCTCCCTCTGGGAAAAAGCACAAAGGAAGCAGAGCTTGTGAAAGATTGAGCTGAGCTACTCATTTGGTGGGAGTCCACTTACAGCCCTGCAAAGCCCAGACTATGCTAAGCCAGCTCAGTTTTTTGGTTGTTGCAGAAAGCAGACCCTCTGTTAAGACTCAAGTCGATGCTCTTGGCTGACTTAAAGGGGAAGGAAGCTAGACCCCTACACGTGCAGTGACACAAAACACCTCTGATGGCCTGGCTAAGTCTCATGAAGTCTGTATAACCGATTACGTTTCAGAAGTCAGAGCACTGAAGACTTCAGACCCATATCTTCCATCCCCCCTCAGATCTACATCCTCTACCACTTAGGAACAAACATACTGGCTACTTTCAATGTACACGAAGCATCAATAAAACCTGGTACTTCATAGAATCATAAAACGGTTTGGTTGGAGGGAACCTTAGACTACCACATTCCAACCCCCCTGCCATGGGAGGGGGGGGGCAGGACACAACACCTTCCACCAGACCAGGTTGCTCACAGCCCCATCCAACCTGGCCTTGAACACTTCCAGGGATGGGGCAGCCACAGCTTCTCTGGGCAACCTGTGCCGCTGCCTCACCACCCTCACTGGGAAGAATTTCTTCCTAATATCTAATTTAAATCTTCCCTCTTCCAGTTTAAAGCCATTTCTTCCAGTTTAAAGCCAATACTTAACTTTCTTTAGCATTTAAAACAGTCAACTTGAAATAGATCATTACAGAAAGCAGTGGGAGCATAGGGGACTCACATAGCAAAACTACATTAAGGCATTGGGGGCTTTCAGACACGATGGTAATAAGGAAGTTGTTGCGGAAAGACAGAGCATGCAGTGAAAATAGGATGAAATACTAGTCCCTATGTTTAGGACGAAGTACTTGAATTGTTGGGTGAAGAGGAAATGTTCTCTCTCAGTCTGAGTCTGGTGTTGCAATCCACAAGACTAGAAGGAATGCTGTGTCTCCAGGGTTGCCCCCCTTCACCCTGACCCTGAAAGAGTCCCATCTTGCTATACCACTCAGGTCAGACAGCACAGAAGAGTATTGCCATGCCTATACTGCACCACAGTCAAGAAAAGCCTTGGACTAGAGCAATTCAGAAGGAGAAAGAAGATAAGAAACGTGGTCTTACGTAGAACCGCAATGAAACTGGTTTTGTCAGCCAGAATCCATATTCCAAAACCCAGAATCACAGCACCCAGGATCTGAAAGAGTAAAAACAAAACACATATAGTTGGCTTATTAGTTTAGACAAATAAGAAGAGGCAGTCACTATTCTCCACACTTCCACAGTAAAAACAACCATTCTTTTACTGTTCCCACCCATCTCCCCCATGGTACTCCTCCCAGAGTAAACAGGATTAGCATGACTCCAGGAAGAGCACTTAGTCAACTGCACAGGAACCCCAGGTTCTGCTTGGCAGTACTTCACATGGTATTTTAGCAGTGCATGATCTTGTATAGGAGGACCGTTTAAAACGGTCTGAGGAAGAGACACCCTGCTGCTAAAAGCCTGTTGTCAGAAGTAAAAGGTAAGTGAACTGCTTCTGTGAAGAACCAAGGAAGGACAAACACATCTAGTATATGATTTTAAAGATTTTTTTTTTGAATAGAGAAATCCTGGACACTATGAGATCAGGCTGGGAGCCAGCTGCCAAAGGATTAGATATCTGGCAGCTGGAACCTTCCCAGGAAGGCAATCTAGGGCTTGTCAGGCTCTGTTATAACATTATGGCTTCAACCTACAAATGCAAAAAACCCAGCAGCATTCACTTTGCATGCAGGTTCCCTTGAATGAAGGGCTTCACCCCTTCCAAGGCCAAGCTTAGGCGTTTTGTCTTAGCAACTGCTTTATGCCAGAATATCCCAGGCCCTCAAGCCAACACATCTCACCACCAACAAAGAGTCAAGCCTTATGAAACATCAGCCACGGTCTCTGCCTCGCTCACCACAGTCTTATCTAGGGCAAGGATTAGTAGAGCAGTATGTCCCTGTGAGAACTCAGCTGAATCCAGACATCAAATTCAGAAGGCAAGAGACATTCAGTTTTCTCATCTCATTTTGAAGGAGGCAGGCAGGGGAGCAGAAAAAGGTATGCTCTGCTTTAGCTTCCAGGTATCACCATGTTTTATACTACACTGTGAGGTGTTGGCATGCAGACGACCCGAGCTCCCAAATTAGGATGACAGCATCTAATACCCCTTCTAAAGAGTTATACCCATAATAAAGTAACTATGCTGAGAAGCCTGTAAGCCTGCAGGTTTGATAAGAAGCAGAAACCTGTGCCATTCAGCCAACTAGCAAAGGCTGGAAACCACTTGTTGTGCAAAGATCTAAAACGGACTTTGAAGAAACAAGGAAAGGACAAGGAGTGCAAGTGAGATGCTTCCAGAGGACATGAACTGCAAGCAGCAGTTCTTACACCAGCAGGATTTCAAGAGAGAGTGAAGTGAAATACTGAATAAACCAACAGGGCTGAAGAGAGATTGCCATTCTGTGCTTCATTAGAGAACATTCTGGCATTTGGGAGACAAGGGAAATGCCAAACCACCACCTGAAGCAAGCTGGCAGAGAGGGCTGCATGGACAAGCACTGGCTCCACATTTTGAAAGTTTACACTATGCTTCAGCTCCTCATACAAAGAAGCTTTTCTGAGCAAAGATAAAACAACAGTCTGAAATAAGCTGCTTGCAAGTTTTCCTGGCTTGGCAGAGGGCACAACGTAGTTAGCTCTGGGGACAGGATTAGAAAGTCACCAAGCAAGTTCCCATCTATGAAGATGGATCAAGTAGACTGACTCAGCTACAGAAAGCATGCAGCTGTTGAATCCCAGAAAAAAAAAGACAAGATGGCAGTAACAAGAATTCCCCCTTGCCTTACATCCCAACATGCTGCACCACAGTACTCAATCTGCTGATCCAACTAGAAAGGCCCCTTGAACACGCAACAGCTGCGGTGCCTAAATAATTCCTCTGAAACTTGGTACTGCCAAGAACTGCTGAATTTACAGTTTGAAGTAGTCTCACATTTAAACTATAGTCTTAATAAAATATTTGTCTTAACAAAGATGCAAACCAGGCTGTATGTGACATCTCTCTTGGCTCGCTGACCCTGAAATGTCACCTAAGTTTCACTGTTGCTGACAAAACACAGAACGGCTGCTGAGCTGAGTTCCTGGGAAGTTATTTGTTATGAGGTGCTCGGACTATCCAAGGCCTGTTTTCACTCTGATCTTTGCTCTAGTCCACAACTCGTGCGTCTGCCAGGAGCTGCTGTGGAAAACACTAAAAGGGGAAGGCAGGGAGAAAACAAACCACAGGGAGAAAACACTGTCCTATTAACAACAGTATATTTACCTCCTAGCAGGATAATATCTCTGCTCAGCATCTTCAGGAGTTTGCATAACATAGCAAGGCTGCTTCTGCCACTGGCTTGGCTTCAGACCCCTCTGTCAAAGAAATCACATCTGCCTTCCATAGAGTTTAATTCCTCTGCTCCACTGCTTTAAACTCCTGAAGTGGGGGACAGACATCTCCCCTCCATCCTGGGAGGATGGAGATTTCACCCCTGATTTCAGCAAGAACCCATTCCACACTCCCTCAAGGCAGGGCCAGCAGTTTCCCATAGCAGAGCCCAGTGAAGAGGGGCATGGAAGAACTAAGCTGTGATGGACCTGACTCACTGTTTACAGAAGGGTTAGAAGTAGGACAGAGTTATATATTCTAAACAAATAGTTTCCAGAGACTGTTGAACTTGTCTCACAGAACAGTTTTTCCCTTGAAGGAGAAGCATCTGCTGTGGTCTGTGTCTGCTACCCAAGAAGCTAGAGATGTGTTAAATTTTGATTACAGAAACTAAGCTTATACTCCAAGCTTACAGTTTTGGTATCTTTTGTAGCAAGTAGGTAAGCAGTCCAAATAACCTTCTTCCCTTTAATCAAAGCACGTCAAACCCTTCTCTGAAGTAAAGTTCAAAGACCGTGAAATACCACCAAGTCCCTGAACTACTTCAGCTATAGCAAGGGACCTTCTCACAAACCTCAAGCTGTAGAGAAGTGTTATTTCAATGACTGACTTAACTTCTAGAAGAGTCACTAGCATGTCTCTGAAGGTTTAATTCATCAGCTCCAAACAAGGCTGGAAAACACATTTCAGACAGCAAGGCCTGGCCTGCACAGGGTGCAATCACAGAGGCTCAGCTCAAGGTCCAGGGCAGACACAGAGCTCCACCACCAGCAATGTTCACATTTGTGCAAGCACTCTCCTCAACAAAACTCAGCAGCTCTGGGAAACCAGCATGAGGTATACAAAATCTGTCCATGCTGGGAGTGCACAGTAACTCAACAGAAGCAGCTTCTCTGCTAGGTTAATATCGATCTACTACATTGTATAAGCTCAAGAATTCACCTCCCCCAGTCCCATTCAGGTCTTGAACCACCGTAACGGAAGCAGCTTCTCACATCAACTACTTCCTATGACAGCGAGAGTGTAATGGATACCACCTTCCTCAACATCTGGCACTTGCAAAAATCCTGCCATCGGTCAAGACAGAAGCATGCTCAAAATCTTCACTCTAGGGGAGTATGAAACTCCCTACCAGACCACAGCAGCATCAGACCTGACTTCCACAGAGCAGCCTGAGGGAAAGACAGCACCTATGCTGCACGTCAGGCTTACCAGAGAGCTTATTAAACATCTCCTTTCGGTCAGCACAGATCTTCTCACATCCCACCTTAAAACTCTTACTCTCCAGGCCCAGCTCAGCTTTCCCCAAGAGGGAGAGGGGTTGGGTGCTACACCAGAGGAGTTGGTTTGGAGCAGGGTGCGCTCAGGACAAAGAACAGCTAATTCCCATCACTGGAAACCCAGACATGAGTGCTCAAGCCTCCCCAATATCCACACAGGGATTCAGCACCTGCCATCCTCCCAGTCTTGGAAAAGATAAGAAAATGCTTTACAGGGCAGAGGTGGGTCAGCCCAACAAAGCAGTTCAACTCTGCCTCCTGACAGCACAGCTATCCTGCAGCCTGCCCACAACCATGCCTGGCTCAGCAGAGAGGGGAGAGGAGGGTAAAACATGGAATAGAGATGCCACAATGACCATTGACAGCATCCAGCAAAAACAGCAACAGTGTTGTAAGGCACCATAGTATTTCAGGCTGTCATCTTTCCCCTTTCCTCCCATGCTAGGCTGGCCCTTCTTGACGAGAACATTCTATATACAGAGGTTAGCTAATGAACTTGGACCTAGGTTCAGGGATAAAAGAAAAACTAGACAGTGTCCAGGTACTGGGCTTCAGCAAGACTCAAACACTGCCTTAACGAGTGCAGCTCTGCTTCCCAGTGTAGACTGGTTAAGTTATATGCTGCTTAACAAGTATTACATCTTTGAGAGGAGATAGCCCAGATGCTAACGTCAGAGGAGTGCTGCACTAGTAGAACAGGCCTGGACTCAGCTGGATTTTTCCTATCCTTAAAGTGGACTAAATCATACTCTGAAAGATCTACTGGCACTTTAAAAACCCTCTCCTCTCCCCTCTCTCCCAGGAATATTCCCCACGGATGCTTTCAGCACCCCTGACTTTCAGCCCTTACACCAGAGCTAACTACTCTTAGGATGGAAGCAAAACACAGAGAGGTAAGAGCCAGCAGAGTAAAGCCAAGGGAAACCAGATCCAGATGTGTCTCAAGTTCAAGCCTGTGTGCCAGCAGCACAGCCCAGCCATGCAGGAAACAAGAGTGAAGCTGTGTGCAGGGACAGAGACCAGAAAGCAGCGCTCACCTTATCATGCTCCATTTCCCTCACCGCCCTCCTAGCCTGGCCCTTCCTTCCCCTTACCGGCTGCACAAAGGGTAACAAATATCAGACAGGCTACTTTCTTGCCGATATGTGGAAAGCTGAAACCTTATGCTTCCCCATTACACCATCCCACTACAGAAGGGCAGCGTGAACAGGACCATCACTGTCTACATGACACACAATATCTAAGCTTCACAAAATGATGCATGCAAGAATGTGTGTGGCCCTCCCAGATCCAAACGGAGCTCCTCTTTTGCTGAGCCTCACACTTGAAAATAACTGCATCCAGTGGGCTGCCTCATTTCCCCAGGCAAGCCTGCCTCAGTCACCCCCGCCTCCCAACTCCATTTCAAATAGGGGACTTGAACTAATTCATCCTGTTAAGAATCTAAACCAGCCGTTGGGACCTGAACAAAATTAGAGCTGTTCTTTGAAGCCTGCCTGGCCTATTTAGGAGGGCACTGCCATTACTTGGCAGGTTTTGTAGCCTTGCTGCTCAGAGGCAGCTCAGCTACTGCTCCAGATGTGGCAGAGAAAGTTGTTACAACTACTCTCCTTCCAGAAAGGATCTGTAACTCTTCTTTTCCCTTCCCACTGCAGGAAGGCAGCTGTGTGCATTGTACACAGCAGGTGGGTACCAGGAGCTGAGCTGCTCAACATACCTGGGAGCCACACAGCAACTCTGATGTCCTTCAGCTTCAGGGATTCCCTCACTCCTTCCAAAACTCCAGCCTTTTTATTTAATGAACACACTGGGCCAACACCCAGAAAAAACACCCTTTCCAGCTAATTTTAATCCAGGTCTTCCTTTCTACTCTGCAGATGCTCACGATACTTACAAGGAACAGGAGATTGAAGAGGAAGAGGAAGTACTTGGTGACTTTTAGGCAGCCAGACCCCATCTTCTTTCACTTATAGGACCTAAGGAGAAAGCAGACAGACAACCCATTATGTTAGTGACAGTTCCTCCAGGCAGTTTCAGAGCAACACCCTCACCCCATGCAGAGCTCTGGATCATGTGGTGGGTCCCAGAGCAGATGCACAAAAAGCACATGCTCCGTAGACTACCCAAGCTGCCTCTTCTGAGCAGCAAAACAGGACACCATCACTACAAATACAAACAGCCGCTGCTGCCAAGATCTCCTGAGAGTGACACAGGGCTATCGGCAGTTACAGAAGGGATTTAATCACAAATACACTGCTAATTCCATCACTATTTATACAGACTTTGCATTAATAGCATCAACCAAAACACTAGCTAACCACTCCCAACGGAGAAAAGGGATGCACTTATCTGAAGGAGCTCACAAGGCCAGCTTCCTCCAACAGAAAAATCTCATCTCCTCATGACCCCAAGTAGCTGAAGGAACACTGAAGAGCAAGGCCAAGAGGTCAATTTAAAAGGCAGCATTAAATCAAGCTTCCAGCACGCAACTCAACACCTGATGCTTTGACAACACACGAGGACCACCGAGTTGGCTCCACGCTTACTTACTACCAATTCTGCTGCAGGATCAAGACAGGCAAGATTTCAAGAAGTCCCAGTTTCCAAAGCCAGCCTCACAAGTTCAAGGTAGTGTGGAAGTACAGATAAGAGAGGATGCTGGTTTTAGTTTGTTGGTACTAACCACACAAACTACATGCATCCATGTGGTAGCTAGCAAGGAATACGAAGAGGGCAAAATGCAAAGTCCAGGGCAGGTCTTCACCGCAGAGAAAACTTCAGCTGCAGTAAAGTACCTTAACTCTGCTCAATTACCATGGCTGAAGCCTACATAAAGCATGAGAAGAGATGACAAAGTTGCTCTTAACACTGCAAATTAGGCAACTTATCAGCAATGGATCCTCATCAGGTCTTTGCACTACAGGACCCAGAGAGTAAACAGATGTGTATTACTGCAAGCTACTTCATTTCTCACTTGTCTGACAGCAAAGAGCTCAGAAGCTAGAAAAAAAGTCCCACAGACCATCCCTGCTACTGGAGTAAGGCTCCTCCTGGGGAAGTAGCACAGCTGAGTAACACAAGGACTGGTGGGGGAACGTCTCAGATCAGCTTTCCTGCTTCTCCTTCCTCCCTCATGCTCAGTTATGTTTCCTGCATAGGCAACACAGGACCTAAGTTCCTTAAAATTTGCTCTAGCAAGCTCCTTACTCAAAACAGACCATGCTGCTTTAAGAAGCAACAGCTGGAGGAAAAGCAATACTGGACTGGGGTCACACCAGTCTGGCCTGGGAAGAGCCATGCCAAACAGAAAGCAAGGTCTGCAGCCTTCCCTGCTGCCAGCCTGGGTGTACTGAGGGTCACTGGAGCCCAGTATGTTCTTTTGTTTCAATCAAAGGCTTTTGCTTAATCCCATTAAATATTTAGGTTAACTCTGGAGCTAAACTGGTATGTGGGCCTTGTTATAACCGGCTAGTCTTCTCACCAAGCAATGGTCACCCTCCAGCTACCAGGAGAGAGCACAAGCCTGAGCTCTGTGGCTGAAGACAACACTACTGCTCCAACTTCAAGGGATGCCATAGTTAGAAGCTGTGCTAAGCCCATTGCTACACAGCCCCTAGCAAGATGCTAGGGAGATGGGAAAGCAGCACAGAAATACAATCTCAGCCAGCTGTGCTACAGATTGATCTTAAAAATCCATATGTAGCAGTTAATGCACCTAAGGAGCTCTTACTGCACAGCCAGGTTAGCACCCTCTCAGTCACTTTTTATTCAGTTAACTCCTCAGGTCACAGTCCGTAAAGCCAGCAGCACCCAAAAGCAGGTCCTTCAAATTAGGCAGGGAAAGCTCCTGTAATAGCCTCTGGTCCATAGTTACACCAAATAATGAACACACAGCATTCCCCTTTCCATTCCCCCCAGGAGCAGCCATCGGCTATGAGCTGGTTCTGTTCCAGCACAGACGCACCACACAACAGCTACATCACCACCAACCCATGAAAAGTGAGTGAAGGCTCTCTTAGCTGATTTTTACCCTTGGATAATGACAGCAAGTTTATTCCACAAGCATTGCTCATGTTAGAGCAGCTCTCCTACAACTCATATGCCAGCTCGCTGTCATAGAACAGCTGTAACTCAAAAACTACCGTGCCCTTTAATAGTATCTCAGAAAACGGGTGAGTATTTGAGCACGGAGAGCACAAATGTCGCTTCCTTCAAAATGTGTGCTCCCCTCCTTTCCTCAGGAGGGAGGAACATTCTCTCAGGCTGTTAATCCTGGCAGGCACCAACACCTAAGACTGCACTTGGAGAGGATAACTAAGACATAAGTTTTCCCATCCAGCTGGCTCGCTTACTGGCTTCACCACGAACACATCTCCTCTTAATAGCATCACAAACTGGAGCCTGGCAGTCTAACCAGAACATTGAGGCAGCCAGGTCCCTAGGCGATGATGAATGTCCGTTGTGGAGGGATACAAGCATTTTTCTGCTCTTCAACCTAGCCAAGAGCTAAGCTAGATACTAACCTCCTGCACAAGGCACTGGACTTCTTACCCCAGGTGCAATTCTCCTTATTTTCAAGCTGGAGGGGCAACTCCCAGTACTCACTGATTTACTTCCTAGTACTAAGTAGCTGTGTGCTGCCTATTTCCAACTGTGTCCACACTAATTAGTCAGGAAAACAGGGATTTGCAGAGCTGTTAGGATCTTTACAATAGTTATCTAAGATAATTAAGTAGTCAAACAAGTTGAGAAGAGCTGGTGTGGAAGAAGATATGCCTGAGGAGACAAGAGTCTGCTTTCAGGGTTCTTCTAGCTATTTGTTAAAGGCCTACCATCTTCAATGTTTATTAAAAACCCAACTGTGCATTACAGTATTATACACCGTTCTCCTCTCGCCACAGGGAAATGCACCTCTCGTAGCTCCTAGCCATAAAGTAACTCAAAGTACAGTTTTCAAGCCAGAAGAGAACCAGGTTTTTAGGGTTTTGCTTTGAGCTTTTAAGATACTTGAGGGCTCCAGATACTGAAACATTACAGATTTTCCAATTCTTCTGCTATACTTAAGAAGTTAAACTTACTTTTGTTCACTACATTAATGAAACTCCTCAAGACCCTATCTTCTGAGATTGCAGTCACAAAACTAGTGACACTGCCATACAGTAGAAGCAGGAGCTCAACAAAATTTGAGATGGGTCAGGCTTGGAGGCAGACAAACTTGGAGTTATCACAACCAGGCATATCTATGGGCCACTGGGCAGCAGAGGGCCGGCTTAAGCATGGAGCCTGCCACAGTTCACAGGCAGCACTGGCTGGCAAGTCACAGCTGACCATTTGCATTTTGAAGGTGGTCAACTTTTGAGCCTTAACATCCTGCAGCAACACATGCAAAGGGTTAACACATGAAGTTTCCAACTTTTAAATTCCACTGATTATCCACAATTGCTTGTTTCCTCCTTTTCATCTCCACCCCAACTGCTTTGATGATTTGAATTTTCCTCCCCAAGCAGCCACACTCACTCTTTTCAACAATCCTGCCCATACGCCTCCAAGTTTTCCCTACCATTCTCCGGATTGATGCCAGCTCTGCAGAGGATTTCATAAGAGACCATACTGTCATCTTGCAGAGTGGTGTTTCTCCCAGCCTCTCATTTCCCATCCTGTAAAGATATGCAGGATTATTTACACACATCTTTCAGTTTGCTGCTTTGAGGCACTACTGCCATAAAAACTTGGTTGCCCACAGGGCCTGGTCAGCTTCTGTGTAGTTGATCCTGGGTCTTTCTTAGCCAAGCTTCAGCCCCAGGACCCAAAGGGAGAACTAACTCCAGGAAAGCATCAATTGATCCAAGACTCCAGGGTTCCCCTTGAGGGATGAAGAGGACAAGTCCACACAGGCTACACCAGCATCATGGGATGGCTTCCTGCAACCTCCACCACTTCCAGCTCTCAGGCCTGTCATTCTCCCAGCAACAGTGATGACAGCAAGACCGGTATGTGGAGCACAAAATCCAGGACGTGTGCCTGAGGGGAGGCAGACGGAGGCTTGGTTTGTTAGCGACAGAGGAGACCCATCACGGCTTGAAGATTAACTTATTTTTGTCCCAGGGGCCTGTGATACTCCCAGCTCCCCTTTCACAAAAGGTGACCGCGGTGAAGGACGAGTCAAACATCTCTGCCTCCCAGCCCCACCACTGGCCAGCTAAGTGGGAGGGGAAATACTCATGCATGGACATTATAACCACATCAGTCAAGGGGCAGAGAGGCTAAGTTAATTTTTAATTGCAATTCTGCTCTCTCAAATTAGATCCTGTACTGCCTCCATCTAGCAAGAACCACATGTTTGGTGCTTGCTGAAGTTTCTGACATTTGGCTCAGGCTTGCCCTGTACATGCCTGTGCCATGCAGCTCTGCCGGTAAGAGCTCAGCCTTCATCTGCAGCACCGTCCTTGCTCTTGCAGTGCAGGTTTCTTCCTGATGAGCTCTGGCAGCTGAAGCACCTCAGCTGCCAAGTTACTGTACAGCACAAATAAGAGGTTCATTTACAAGTGCAGTGAAAGAGAAGGAGACAAACAGGAACAACCTCTGTGCAAACCAGAGTAGATTAGTTGTGGAAATCACCGTCTCGGTACATTTACAGGCAAGTGCAAAAGTTCCCACAAAGCCTCGAGGAAAGCACACATGCTCACGAGAGCAATAAGCTCTGAAGGTCAGGCCCAATACTCCAAGTCAAGTAGAAGAGGGTTCACATTTGAATGCATCTACATAGCCTGGAAGATGCTGTCCCCTCTCCCCCAGACCTTCTTCCTTAAGGAAAGGAAACGATCAGTTACAAAGAAGCTGCAGGTTGTTTCCATGTACTTTGGTCAGTTGATCCTCACTACCACCCCTCAGGCTCTAACCGCAGCGGCTGTAAAACCAACCCTATGGGCTGTGCTGCTACAAGCCTTTACCAGGCTAGAATGAGGTCAAACCAGCACC